CCCCAAAACCCCAAAACCCCAAAACCCCTGCTTGTCACAGATATATTGGGAGGATAATTTAGTAAATAATTTAACAAGATGGAAGGCCCAAGAGTTATCATTTCAGGATTTGCTAAGGTATGGGTTTTAAAGATTGTTAGATGTGGGTAGAGGGTGTAGAAAAGAGTGTACTGTATGCAAGGGGAGATAATATAGGGAGTAGGAGTGATTTTAGTACCCTTTAGGGCTAGATGTGGTTTAAGTTTTTGTTTTTGATCTTAATTATCGCTAAAAGTCTGTCTGCTTTAGAGTAAGATGAAAGAACCTCTTAAAAAGAATGAGTCTACTAAGAAGGAACAATATAAAAAGAAAATTAACCTCTTTATATCTAATTGAATAAATGAAGAGCAAAAGATACCCTCTATCGCTGCAAAAGTAAAGAAACCAAAGGTAAGAAGAGGATCTATCCAATTTTAGATTAGTAATCCTGATAATGGAACAGAAATAATGGAGAAGTATTACCTTCTTTTTCCTCAAATCAAATTAAATCGTAAAAGTACTCGCTTCAAAAAGAAGGTATTCTCCAAATAATCCTTCCTAGCTCCGACAACTATTCATTGACACAGTCAAGAAGTACATCGGAGTGCCTTACGCTAGGCGTAAGTACAAGCCTGATGAGAACGAGTACTACTACCCTATATATTTGGACTGCTGAGGACTCATCAGAAGAGCCATGTATGATCTTGAGGATCTTTTTGGCTTTAAGATTGGGTAAGTTTTTGATAAGTTCATTTTGAATTATTAGCAAAAGATTTGCTAATTTTTAATTATAGGGCCGGAAATCAAGGATACCAAGTGAAGAAGTTGAATTAATTTATAGGTAGATACTCTTCCCATTGATCTTGAACAAGCTGATTTGAAGCCAGGTGACTTAATCTTTTATTCAGGTAATTACTTCAAATTCTAATTGTGATTAGGAACTGCTACGAATCCAAAGAAAGTAAGAGTCAATTTTATTGTTTTCTGAAGGTTTAACCATGAAATAGAAGCCTTGGTGGCATCACATGAAACATGTTGAAATGTTTACTCGTGGCCCTACAGGGGTCCAATCTATAGGCTCTAGAGGAATGAAGAAAGTAGTGAATTACTTTGATAGTTTTAAGGTAACATGTGCTCTCATTTTATAGTTTGTCTCAAGATCTTACGCTGACATAAAATGGCATTACAAGTCAATAGACACATGGCTTGAAGGAAAATGTGAGATTGTTTGTCAGGTACACAGATTAAAAGGCTACAAGGTGAAGAAAAAGGGAGCACACACCTTTTTACGTAGGGCTCATTCCATTAAGATGAAACAGAAACAGAAAAGACTTGAGAGTTTTGAGAAAAAGAAAAATGTAATTTTTTAAATTAATGAATAGACTAATTTTAGTGTTTTCACTGCTTTCACAGATAAGTCTTATTCTTTCCCGGCTTTCCAAGAAGTCCTGAATAAAGTCAAGGTTAAGATCCTCCCATCAGAGTAAAGGTCATGACTTACTTTGTAGGACCGATGAGCCTGGTGAATGGAACGAGAAAGCGAGGATCGCCTTTGTATCAAATCTGAGGAATTTAGACTATTCTCGGTATTTGGACGGATTTCATATGGTTAATCACATCCAAACAAGATACAGAGGAGGGACTACGGTAGGGTTCCTTAAGCTAATCGAGCAATGTAAGACCTCAATGAGATGTGGAGCAATCAAGCCTATTGCAAATTATGAGGATGCCTTTATTGAAGGATATTGCTTAGGAAATATAGGCGACCTCTGGACTTTTCTGAAGTGAGTATTTTAATTTGAGTATATTAAATTTTACAAATTTTTAAGGATCTTGAGATTCAAAATTTATTTGAACGTTAAGTTTAGAAGTGATGCCTTTATGATTCAATTGTTATTCCCAGCCTCTATTGGCCTTCTTTTTGCTCTAAATCCTACATCCTAGTTCCTTGGGTTAGGGTTTCGAGCGAGGACTTGCAACACTCACCATGAATATTTTTTGACGAGGTTCTCTCTTAAAATTTCAGTTAATCATATCTTAACTATATTCCATCTCTTGCTAAACTTCTTTAATTCAACCCTTAAAACCCTATTAATACCCATTTAGTCGTCCGAACGAAGGAATCTGGATTTACAGGAAAGGCCTGTGAGCTCATGCTAGGAATCTGTTCTACAAGAACGTTAGTAAGTCCTAAACCCCTCAAAATCTGCTATTTATTCACTCAATCTTCGTTTAGTTGTCAACCTTCTGGCTTTTAAGGAGACTTTACTTGGAATGGAAACTCAAGAAGATTATTGGCTTAAGGATCAAAGCATGCTGGATGAGAACTTTTCAGTCTCAGCCATTGACGAAGAAGATAACGAGAGCAACCTGTCTTCTGATCAAGCCTCTGGCTCTGATAAGAATGAGAGTGAAAGTGAAGGCCTCTCAGATTCCGGTTCTGATTCTGATGAGATGGATGAAGAGGAACCTGATGAACCTGAAGAAGAGAAGAAGGATTTAAAAACGGGTCGATTGATCAACCCTGCACAGAAAATGAACCCTAACTTACCAGTCATGTTCAAGAGAAATAAAAAGTCGCTAATAAAATTAGCAAAAGATCTCAAGATCAGAACTGTATGGAAACAGATTGAAGAATATCGTCCGAAATAAAGCACAACGGATGTATGAATGATTTCTGATGTTTTTAGGACAAGATCAAGATCAATACCAAGATTCATAAAATCAAGAAGTGGTGAAAGAGAGGAATCAAAAGAAGAGTTAAAAGAAGAGATAAAGGATAATGGTATAGTGAAAATATCAAATCTCTTTAAAATAAAGATTTAAAAGGGTGTAACATTTTAGCCAACAGGAGTATTCTTTGTTCATCTAATCCCTGTAATTTCCATCTTTCGTATTCTCTATTTAAAAAGCATATATCATCCAAACATCATCCTAAATATATATTTATATTCGTCAAACAAGTTAGATCAAATTTAAAAACCAAGTGTCCACTTTCTCTAAACTCCAACAATATCAAATATCTCTCAATACTCAAACTGAGACCCATTCAGGCCTTAATTTCAGCTTTAATGGTATCAAATTTAGTCTTTATCAAAGAACCTTGAGATCCTGATTATGATCAGCAATAGCGTCTCCCTCTTGTAGAAGCCTCAAAATCTGATTTCGTTAAATTATTCTCCAATAAATCTTTATTAATTAAAAATGATAAGACTGGGCTCAAAGTTCCGATATTCTTTGGATTATATAACTGGGAAGATATATGGAGACGCTCACTTCGGCAGATAGTAACAAGCATCGATGATTGTTAAACAGATGTGGGCTCAATGGCAGTTGATCAGCCGCTGGGTCACTGTATTAGAAAGAATCATTCAGGGGTGGAGTAAGAGGGGAGATACTAAGAATGAATAACAGAGATACAATTCTGCACTTAAGTCAAGAGGGTTGACTTAAAGCTAGGTCTTGGTGGAAAGCCATTGTTGATCAGGGATATAAAAGGACTGGTTATCTAAATCAGCTAGATTTCATTCACCCAGCAGCATTGACTCTACAGTTAGGCCTTACACTTTAAAAGCTAATAGCAAATTTGGCACCCTCAGGAATGGCAGTAGCCAACTTTATTGTGATGAGCAATGTTTAATAGTTTTTCTAGAATCTTGTTATGTATTCGATAGTAGCTTAAGATGCGAGTCTAGAGTAGTTATAAGGCTTCTATAAGAGGGAGTTGCCATTGATGATCATAACCAGGATCTCAGAGTTCTTTGTCAAAGGCTAAATTTTATATCATTAGAGCTGAGACTGGTGCTTGAATGGGCCTCAGTTTGAGTATTGAGAAAAATTTGATATTGTTGGAGTTTAGAGCAAGTGGACACTAGGTTTTTAAATTTGAGCTAACTTGTTTGACGAGTGTAAATACAGGTTTAGTACTAGGTTAGGATTTTTAATTGTAAGCCATTTTTCAGATTGAATAATCTGCTATCATCGTTACGAGGAAAAAGAACAGAAAAATGAAGCACTTCCGAATATATAATTAATTTTTCATTGATTTTGGTTTCAGATGACTAAATAGTTCTCTGTATAGATAACATCAAGCTAGACGAGACAAAGTATATCCCTTACCATATTATAGTACATTTTCAAATTACCACTATAGATTACCATATGCAGAGGACATTTTGTGTGATTGGTCAATTCCTCTGAAGCTGAAATGTACCTCTCAAAATTGATGCCTGATTCAAGTGAACCAAGATGCAAGAGTTCAACTCGCAAAACTCGCTCTAGATCCTCAGGCAGATCACCTGACAAATCTTCTGCATTGATAAAGGATACAAAAATCTCAACTCTTAATGCGAGGATGAAATCAATTTGCAAAGTCGTGGCTCACGAAATGTGTTTCCACATGAACAACTTAATCCCAGGCTGCTTTGAACTAATGAGGTTCTACTTCCTAATTGACACGAATCTGAACCCTATCCTGAAGGAGATCTCTCGCAATCTTGATGAAGAGGTACATAAGTGATCAATCTTATAGAGATTCTTTACCAGCCATAGGAAGAGAATAGTGGAATCTTCGATCAGATTAATCAGAAGTATAACTACCAAAGCTAGAGTGTACAAACGCAAGAGCGTTATGGAGTTGGCCAACGAAGCCAGAAAATTGAACAAAGGAACGAAGCAATTTGAGCTTTTGTATAAGTTTTAGTCAGTGATGGACAGTGTGCTGGTTTTTGGGGGTTTGAAGAGGTGGTTCAATTTTAAGGTTTAGGAAGGGGTTTTGGGGTTTTGGGGTTTTGGGGTTTTGGGG